GTCGTGCTCGGTGAGGGAGCGTGTAGCTGTGTGCGCTCTCGACTTTACTAACCGCTAAAAACTTGAAAGCTTCAGACAGGCAACGCTACGATACTCGTCGAGTTGCTATCACAATTGAGATCCAACGTCGATTGGAGTTCGGGCACGGGTGAACGGGATTGTAGAAGAAACCATCTTGAGTTGAAGAGGATGTGAAATCGCCCTGCTGTGCTCCCAGCGCTCCGGTTCTGCCCTCAGCGCTCCAAAATTGGCAGAATCATATTTATCTCATGTGGCGCACCTTGCAGTAGTTCGGCGGTTGTTTTTTCCCCCGTCACATGCAGCCACTCGTTTCCTCTTTCGCAAATTTCAGCACGAGGCGCAAATGGGACTCAGGCACATTGACCCTTGTCTGGAACACAGTTGTCACACACATTCGCACGCTCGAGAGTGTACGTGAGAGGTGTTGCTATCGCTATCGTCTTCGCCTTGTCTTGGACTGTATCAATGCTGACAAAAATACAGGCAGAGCCCCTCCCCCCCAACAAACACGCGTTGAAAACAAAACCACAAGCACCTTCTTCGCGTCTGCAGCCTTCCAGCATGAACCCTTGCCATGGATGAGTCCCTCTTTTGCTGTGTGGCGCCGTGCCGCTTTCGCAGCGACGATAGTGATACTTGACGTATATGTTTTCGCGTTCCCGCCGCTTCAAGCTCCCAGCGGCACTTATCATGTACACCAACCACCATTACCTCGTTTTGGCCTAAACTCACATGTTGTTGTATCGTTCATTGCGTAGGCCGGCAAGACAGAACCTGTGTTGCAATAGGTCAACTTTAGTACGCGTTGTCTGCTGCTTCACACTTCAGTTCCATTGAAAAAACAAAACGGGCTTCAGAGTGTGACCGGGGGCAAACTTTGCTGTATGCATGTAAAATAATTTGAGAGACCCAGACAAAGCATGACCACCCGTATGACGCCTTATCGGCTGTTTCGTTTCTTGGTTTTTCTCCCAGCCGGACTGTCGCGTTCGTTGGGGTGATCGAGATGCCACCACCCGAAAACAGGAACGCAGCACTCTTCAATTGGTTCTCGGTGGTGTTCTATTCCTTCCACAAGGCGCATCCTGCCGGTGACACCGGTAGCGAGCTGTAACATGACCCGAAATTTAGGCCGCACTTTGTTTTACCCCAGTTAGCCGCATTCCCGTGTTTGTACTTGGTGTTAGAGTTGGCAGTGTCTGGTTTCTGCTCTAAAATGATTTTTTTTTTGGGTCGATGTTTTCGAGATTGCAACAACAGATATTCCGCCGACATTACCCCCACCGGGCATCCCCTTACGCGTTTAGCTGCCGCAAGAAATTCCACGAAGGTTTTCTAGTCAATCCAATGCGTGAAGGACGCAGAAACTGCACAGCTCTCCCGAGAACCTGCGTGACAAGGGCCGGCAGTGCATCAGCAACTTGCATGCTTCTAGTTGCCTCATTTGCGAGAAGATGCGCATCGAAAAGGAGATCTATCAGCAACCATTGGTACTGCCGAGTCCGTATTGGTTCCTCTTCTCGTGCCCACACACACTGTGGCATAGTCAATGTAAACTACAACAACACAGGCATCGATAGTCTCCCTCTCTCAGACCCCGCGCGTGCGTGCGTCATGTACCACAACAAAAAACTAGAAGTGGCTGAACGTTTGTCTCGGTTCTGGCACACGCGCCGATGTAGTCCGATGCGCGGATAACATGATTGCTGACCACGCTCAGAAATACATAGGCTCGACGTTCACATTGGTACTGCCGACTCCGTATTCATGAAGTGTTTATGTGTGCCCCGTCCTTGCTCACACATGTGAATGCACCGGCGCAGAGAATCTCCCTCTCTCAGACTGGCTACACCCCGACCTCCGTGTCGCGGAATCGAGGGTCGACGCTCGAGGCCACCGCGCAGCAACCGTTAACCACGACCCAAACCTGGCACATTTGGTGTTTTTGTGCTACTGCTATCGGCAACATATTTTCTTGCTTCTACAAATTTGTTTAGTCCGCAGTATTCCGCGTGTGCGCACGCAGCACACGCATGGACGGTTGATAACTAATGTTCACCACGCAGACTGCATCGTACGCAGGGTTGACCGACTGCGAACCACGGTAGGACACTCAATTTGCAGAGATTTGCACAGTCCGCAGTATTTTGCGTGTGCATATATGTTGTTGTTGTCTTCACATTAAAAAACCGTGCCGTTCTCTCTACCCACTACCTTTTTTTGTCCGCAATAGGCCAACACTTGACACGGTCCATTCGCGTGGTCAAAGCCTTACTTACCCAAAAATATGGTATACCAAAATAATATGCACCCAAAGCGTACATAGAAATCAACGGCAGAGTGTCCAGCACACTCCGCTCGCCTCTACACGCCAGGCGAGGTAACCATAGACTGGAACAAAGAAAGAACAAGAAAAAAAAGAAAGGTAAGGGAGAAAAGAAAGACACAGAGAGAGAAAGAAACACGCCAGAGCCACTACCGTAGCGACAAACATATGCATGGTTGATAATGGTCACCCGGAGTTCATCGTGCGCATGGTTTACTGCGAACTATACCGGGGACCCTTGTGTGTGTATTTGTGATAAAGTCAAAATAGGTGAAAAACTGGCGCACGTGAGTGAGTATACTACACACACCGGACGGGTGATCATGTCGCATAGTCATGGATTGGGTCAACTGCGAGGATTGTTTGTGCATGCCTTCCTTGCGCGTGGCAACAACTATTACAGCAACATATCTTGCGCGCGGGGTTGACTGCGACTTCGTTGCACGCAGGTTGGTGACCAAGTAGACTACTATCAACAATGCGTGCACACGCGGATTGCGGACTGTATTTTCGGCACAATCAGGGGGGGGAGCGCAAAAGTGGTACCTCGACGTGCCAGGGAGACAGGACAGGGCCCACACGTGACAGAAGTTGCACGCGCGTGGATAGTCATTCGGTGTTTTGACTGGTGGTGGTGCGAAACAGAGAACACCACACACGACACCTGGCTGGAGGGTGATGACGGCGCATAAATGTGGGATCCGGTCGGTTGGGTCGTACGTATGGAAGATATATCAAATCCTGATATTGCCCACTCAGGTTTGAGTCCATTCAACCTTTTGCTTGAAGTTTGGCCTCCGAGAGAAGTAGGGTAACAATCCTAGCATGGGCAAGGGGCTGGCCGGACATCTTCTATTTTCTAGTCTCCCGCTCCCACATAGACTGCAACACACGAACGGGTGTGCGTGCCTTATCCTCATTTTCATCACGGCTGTCCTTGGTAGTTCCTTCGCAGTATTTTTCCCGCGGTGAATCCGAATTAATTGTCATTCTCCCAGTCGTTCGCCTTACCATTCAACCCCCAAATCGCTTCCAACAAAATTGGGGGTAGCACGCAAACGTAGGGTGAGTACCGTCCGGCGTTCGAACTCAAGCTCAACTGCCGTTTCTTCTCTTCCTTTTATATTCGTCCTCTCACCGCTCATTCATGTCCTCTAAACACACTGAATGATGTGTTGTACACACTGATGATCACTGAGAAGGTGTTACGATTCTGGTGAACGTCAATCGACGGATACTTTTAAAGCCATTTCCTTCAACACTCTCCACCAACAGAATGTACCCTCAACTGGGAACCAATTGGGGCCAGGACGGGTAGTTCGATAGAGGTGTCACAGAGTCTTTTGAGGATCGACTCCAACAGGTGCTCTCAGGACTGACACACATTTGTGTCCATGGTAAAATGTCGAAGCCAGTAAGCCAGGAGAACAATGTGCACGCAAGGAGATTCGAACCCATCCGTGTCGCAGATGACGCCAAGTGCGAAGATGTACCGATTCTGGTAAACGTCAAGGATACCTTGGGAATCGGGTCCTCCCATGATACTGTACGAGCAATGTTTTTTCTGTCTTTCTGTCTCTTCCACATGCGTATGCGAGAGGACTACTATCCTATGCCTGGACGCCACTACATGTCACGGAGAAAGTTCGTGAACGCCCAAGCGGCAAAGAACCTTGTGCTGCTAGTGGCTTCATTCTGCTAGTCGCGTGTACCGATCATGCTTAACTAAACATACCTCTGATATCTGTCTGTCGCACTGGTTTCGCAGCGTGTGCTTCGATGAACAGCATCTTTCCCTTGCGAAGATGGTACGCTGCCTCGCTTATCCCACACGACCCCGCGCATTCTTGTAACGATTCCAAAATGCGACGAAAGCTCCGAGTAGGGCGGCGGCGCCATCACTTCTCCACCCCCCGCACTGCCAACGTCTCCCGATGGTCGCTATTGCTCGCCGAAAACAGCTCATCAGTCGTTGTTGTGGGGTCGACCAGTCGCATGGTCGCTAAACCGGGGCGTAGCGGTGTGTCGAGATTGTGGGGTCGCTAAACAGGGCTGTCGCCAAAAAACGCGTCGCTAAACCGGCGCCCCTACTGTAATGAAGTCTACTTGGTCACCAACCATGCGTGCAACGAATTATCCAACCCCGCGCGCCAGATGTGTATGCTGTATGTAGTAGTTGCCACGCGCAAGCAAGTAAGGAATGTACAATCATCCCTGACTATGCGACATAATCACCCGTCCGTCAGGTGTGTGGGGTGTACTCCCTCGCGCGCGCCAGTTTTTCATCTATTTTGTGTTGACACTCTCACGAACACACACAAAACATACACACACAGAGGATCCCGGTACAGTTCGGAGTCAACTATGCGCACAATGAAGACCGTGCGTGACCATTATCACACATGCATGTGCAAACTAGCGCGAATGCTGCGGACCTGTGGAAATCTCTGCAAAATATTATGTTGCCGAAGCAATATGTTGCCGACTATTGAGCGACATACTGCTGCTGTAGTTCGCAGTCAACCATGTGTATGCATACGATGAAGTCTGCGTGGTGATTGTTATCAACCATATCTATGCTTGTGCACACGCGGAATACTGCGGACTGCGCAAATTTGCCGATAGTGGCAGGAACACCAAAATTTGTAAATTAATGCATTTCATCGAAGTCCCGACTTTTGACTGTGCAGCACATGCACGTAGGTGCGTGCGTGACTTTCGATTCAAGCTACTGTACATCATTTTCGTCACGACTGTCCTTCGTAGTTTCTTCGCAGTATTTTTCCCATTGTGTTAATCGAATTTCCGTTCCCACCCCAATCGTCTTACCGCTTCCAACAATTTTGCGGGTTTCATGCGAACGTCGGGCGGGTAAAACCGTCAGGGATTCCAACCCCAGCTCAACTGTCATTCCTCTGATTGCTCTTCATGACCTCTACATTCGGACTGATGATATTGTTTATGGCGTTTTTTTTTTCTGTCTCTATGTCTCTCCTTCCACACGCGTCTGTGAGAACACTCAAATGCTTCATTAATAGATTCGTTGTCCTGACACGCCTATTTTTTCGGGACTATTCACTTGAGATGACCATTCCTTTTGTGATATCCAAACTTTCGGTAGTGCCGGTTTTCGTACAACTGCAGAATTTGCCTCGAACTCGCCCCATGTACGGGGTATTTTGTTTCTCACCGCTACCGCTATTCGCGTGTACGTGGGCGTGTTGTGCTTTAGCGGCGTCTTTGCTGCAGGTCCTACTGCTGTTGTAGTCGGCTGCGTTGCATTAGTCGCTCTTGTGTATTCGTTCCGTGTTGCCCATGGTCTGTGGGACTTGTGTGCGTTGCGCAGGAATCACAAGTCTTCTTTTTTCAAGCACTTTTTTTTTATTTCTTGCTGAAGCTTTCTTCGTATGGAACACGTCCCCGGGGTATAGAGCCAGTTTTTCAACTCTGGGCGTCAAGCGCACACGCCACGGGTGCCTGTTGGTCCTCGGGCGTGCGTGGTAGTGCACCGACGGGCCTCCTACGTGCCCCTGAGAAGGAATTGTATTAAAAATCTCACCGCGAGAGAGAGCAACCCTGAAGCACGTATGATACATATACATAAGTCAACTGATTTCGATCCGAGGAGTGAGGTAGCTTCCTTTTACAGCCCCATCGCGACAGTGAATAGCAGTCGATGACCGCATGGAAGGAAACATCGCCGATCAGATATTGTAATTGGTGCAGGTTGAGGAGCTGTACAGCCTCGATGAGTCCAACTTCAAGGATATTCGACCGGTGTATGGCCTCGTGTTCCTGTTCAAATGGACGGGAGATGACGAGCGACACACCACCGAATCACAAGACGAGCCCGGTCTTTTTTTTGCACGTCAGGTAAATCGTTAGCACATGTGTACCGGTGTTTAGTCACGTGTGTGCCGTCAAGAGTATCGCACAGTTTCTTGGCCCTGAAATGGTTTTATTGCTTGCGCGTTGAGGGCATTCGCTGTGCTTGTGTTGTGCCGAGCGTGAGATGCATTCCTATTTCCCAAAGCGTTTTGAGCAACCAAAACGGAAACGTCATTGACTTCACTGTTGCAGTGAAGGTTGAATTTGCCGAATGACTTTTGTTGTTAGGAAAGCTCTGCCAGTTTGTTAATATTGCTGTCCAGAATCTCACGAGCTAATGAAATGGTACGGTTTTGCCCCCGCACTTGTGTCGTTGGCAGGTTATCCAAAACGCATGCGCTACCCAAGCGATACTCAGTGTACTTCTCAACTGCGCAAACAAGGTAGGATGAGTGTGTGCGCTGTGGGGTGGTTCTTGCGACCGTCGGCGTCGTTTTGCCGTTGACCATTCCAAAATGTCAGCCCGTTCCAAACGCGCAATTACCCTACCCGTGTCTCTCGCCGGCATTGGTCTACTTGGTCAACGTCCACTGCTGTGTAGATGCCGCCGAAGGTTGTCCCCTGCCTCTTGGTCACCCGACAGGCGGACCTTGCTTTGCAAAATGCTCGTTGTGCTCTCCGGCAAGTTCTTGAGGATATTTGTTGCGAAATATGGTCCATGCACGACGATAACTCCATAACTTTCGCCTGCTCACATGTGCGATTTTCTCGGGGTAGGGGTGGTTTTTGAAAAAAACTAAAAACACCGATCAACGCTTTGTCTCAAGGCGCATGTTACCACGGAGAGTATTTTTTTCTTGTGTTGTCTTCGCCTTTCTATCTGAAGGCGACTCTCCACGAGCCACGGTGATACCGGCAGCAGCCCAACGGCAGGAAAAGAGTGGTCGGCTCCGGGCCGACTGTTTGGATTAGTTAGTCTTGGACCTTTTGTTTTTGCCTGGGGCGTACCTCCCGCCTCCCAGGCCTAAACGGAGTGAGATACATCCCTGGATTGTCCCCCCCCTCCGACGAAGAATTTCTTGTGTGTCTCTACGTGTGGTTGTTCGTGTTTTTCGATGACTTTGATGTACACTCGCTACAGCGACCGCTCGTTTGCTGTTAGTTCGGTTTTGACAGAAGTTGTCTCCTTGTGGTGTCGATGACCTCACAATCGCACAGCAGTGCATGCGGGGTAACAGTAACAGTGCGTCGTGTGTTCCTGCAACAGCGGCAGTGCTGGGTCACAGCTCAGTCAGTAGCCATGTATGCTGAGTCAGTGCACGCGTGCCGTTCCCCTCCCCAGACCCCCAATCGAAGAGCATGGTTGCACTAGGTCACAAACGTGTTTACTCATTTTTACGTCGTTGAAACGAACGGATGAAGTGAAAGTCTGAAATTAAACGCAAGCAAGGCAGGGAGGTTGAAGAGACAGGCATTGGCTGAAGGGCGAGAAACACCAGGACTAACACGGAGCGCGAGAGGAGGAAGAGATCTGTAGTCTTGGAGTTGGGTGATTAATGAGATACACAGCTTGCTCGTTGGGTCTGTATGGTTAGTACTGTGTAGATGATTGAGCGAAAACTTAGTTCACAGGCTTTCCCACAGTTTGCCGCGTATGGCTTCTGGATTGTCTTGGCGTCGCTCATCGGCCATGGCTACCTTGTTCATTTTTGGCCAGATCGACATTGGCGAGACGCTGTCGGACTTCATGACTTTCACACGAGACTTTCCACCGGAAATGAAGGTGCGTTGCATGTCTTGCGCGGTTTTTGGTTTTGCATTGTGCTGGTTGTGAATGTTCACAGCACCTGTGAACGTTGCGATATGCGTAGCGTGACAGATCTGTGCCAGGCTTCCGGTTGCGTGTTCTTTGTAGCGTACTGTTCCCCTAACGTATGTATTGTGGCATTCCCCTCAACGGTCCGGCGGCATTGGTTCTATATGCGCAGGGTTTGGCGATCAGCAACAGTGAGACCATCCGGTCGGTGCACAACGGATTTTCTCGTCAAGAACCTTTTGTGACTGAGGGAAAGGACGATGGGGGCGAGAACCAAGACGCGTTCCATTTCGTGGCTTTCGTTCCGTTTAACGGCAAGGTAAGTTTTTTTTTTGTGTCCGCCGTGCTCCATACAGATTTTTGCGTACCTGTGTGCGGCACACTCCCGTTGTTTTGTCAAGTGTCATGCGTGTGTCTCCACCTGTCTCCAGTCTCAGCACTTGGGACACAAAGAACTTGTTGAGCAGCAGTGTATTGTTGTTGCTGTTATTTGGCTAGGCAGGACAACACATCTATGCATATCTCATGTTGTTGCCCGCCAGCTGTCCACAACCGACCGTATTGTGATACATACAGCAGTCCTCCGTGCGTGTCCTTCGTAAAATACGTGTCGGGCGTGCTGGTGGAGTGTTTTGTGGAGCCCGGCCCTACAGCAGTAGAAGACTCGACTGGAGAGGACGTGCACTCTACTTTATTTTCAGGAAAGCAATATAACGATAGTCTACATTTGTTTGTGTGTTTTAGAGGGAAACGACTCAAGTTACCCCAAGTTGCACTGAGAAAAGCACGGATAGATCTCATTTCAGCACCGCCTCTCTCTCCTTCATATACACATGCTGTGCTCCAATCATCCCTGATCTATCTCTGTATCCTGAGATCAGCAGCAGTATTATTGTCTTTCTCTCTTGAAGCCGTCGTTCAACATGCATACCAAGACTACATACATGCATACGGTAGCCGATAGTTGACATGCAGGCAATAGCCGACGCTGCAGTAGACAATCAAGTGGGTGGATGGGTGTGTAACGTGTTGAGAAGCACGGTGACCACCACTATTAAGTCTCGGCAAATCTCCCAAGTACTGTAATTCGGCAAAAGCCCTCGGCAATAAAAAACCGCGTGCCGACTGTTCGCGCAACGCAAGTCTTCTGCTGTTTGGTTTCGAGTCGATCGTTCGTCTTAACCAACCACCACGCACCCACGTTCAAAGGACAGTGGTTCTTTCCAGGGAAAGCGGACCTAGGATTGGAGACAGCCCTTCTTTAACAGGGCAATTTATATTGAGACAGAGAGAGAGGGAATATGAGATAGGGAATATGGAGAGCAGAAAGACAGAGAGAGATACAGCGGGAGAGGGAGAGAGACAGAGACAGATCAGTGCCAGGCGAAACCGCTGTTGGTTGCTGTGCAATCACCTTCTGTTTTTCGTGTCTCTTGAACGCGCACCATCTTGCTCGGGCTGTGGCACACACACATTTCTTTTTTGTTACAGTTTGTTTTTCTGTTTCTCTGCCTGCACGAAAAGAAACTAAGAGCCAAAATTAATTAGTTCCTACATGGTCACGTTAACAAGCAATTTCCAGCATCGGGTACACGATATATATGAGAATCGATATAAACCTTTAACATGCAAACACCCCCTGGTGGCACATCCCAAAACAATTTGGAGATAAAGAGTCACCCCTACACTCCGAGGGAATATCAATATGATAACGGCCCCCCGGTGAGACATTTACCCGAACCATGCAAATTCTGTACCTGCCTCCTCTACCTGATATCACTCAAGACATGATACCAATATCGATTATCAATACGCAACAGCCCCCAGCTGAGACATTTCCCCGAAAAATGCATGCAGATGTGCCTGCGCGTTTTTCCTCTTCTCATTCGACAGGAAATGTCTAAACGTCAATGTCTACGAAACAACCCTCCAAGCCCGAACATTTCCTGCAAACATATGCAACGTGCAAACATTCGCTGGTGCTGCGTCTGGAATCTTATCAACACATTCCCTCCCCCTGATTATCGACGCAAAGCACAGCAGAATACCAGACCCAAACAATATTCAGCATCAACACACTCCATCAAAGCACTCTGATCAGCTGGTACAGCGGCGAGAAACGTGTCACAACCCCCCGCCCGTGGTTTGCTTGACAGCATTAAAACCAGCAGATTATTTTACACAATGTTTTGGTCCAAAACAAAACAAGTTAAACCCCAGGAAAATATTCCAATCCGTTTAGGATTGGTTTCAGCTACGGAAAAAAAAAAAAACTGTTGTATTTGATTCCGCGGCATCACTTTTTTGACCGCGGCCAATTTCTCTCGGCTGGCGAAAGCTACGAGTGCGAGATCGTGGCGGTGCCTTCGCGCGACCTACACCTCGAGGGTCCAGTCGAAGGAGTTTCAATCAAAGCGACACCGGTGCCAAACCCAAGCATTTTGTCTCGCTCAGAATCCCTTTAACCCCTTTGGGTCTAGGCTGGATTGTCAGTTTTTTGTTTTTGCGCCAATAAAAAGTATGAGAGCGAGAGCGAGCGGAGAGAAGTGCAGAGAAAGACACCAGTGTACTTCTGCGCACGCAACAGCTATCTCCACCTGTAGGCCATGAGGGAAGCCGGCGACAGGGTGGTGGCCACAGACAGGGTCGTAGAAGGGTTGATGGGTGGTCACGCTGCGGTCAGTACGGCAGGTTAGCTGTGTAGACTTTGAAAAGATCAGTTGTCTAGCTGCCTCAACTAAATAGTCTATTTTCGGTATATTGTAAATGATCAGTCCAGAGAGGGTAAAATGATCAGTGAAGACCCATAGCTGGTATTTCAAGGTATTTGTACTTCGGTACTTCTCTGTTCTCTGTCCCCCCCCGATATGTGCCCTGCGAGCTCTATAGAGCTCCTGTGTTTTTCAAACAACAAGCACATCCACCAGCACACACCTGTACCTCGTGGTTTCCTAGGTTCGGGCGAGGGTGGTATGTGTGGCGCTACGAGTGTGGATGTGTTGCTGATATGTGTTACTCGCCTACAGCAGTAGTGGTAGTGTTGTTGCAGCGTTCGTGGTAGCTGCTGACACATTGACTGCTGGATCTTGGGAACGATTTTCAAATTGTTGGGAGATGCAGCAACCACGATATCCTCGATATCTGGGCTTCGGCAGGGCTTGCAATACCCCTCCCTTTTGCTGCTCTCTGCTCTTTGCAGCAGTGGCTTCCTACGGTCGGGCGAGTGTATGTGTGGTGCTGCGAAAGAACACATATGTATGCATGTATGTATGCACACACACGTTCATGTACATACGTTGAGAGATTCATGATTTGGCATTGATTGCCCCATTCCCGAGACCTTGATGTTTCTCGGCCGTCACTGACGTCTCTTCATTGGTCAACCGGTTAGCGCGGGTGCTAATAATCTAGACACACCTACCTATGGACTTGCCAATACACGGCGCGAAGGGCTACAGAGCGGCAACTCCACGACTTGCCACTACACCAGCATTTGCAAATGATCAATCAATGATCAGTCAGAACGCCTGAAGACTCAAAAGGGTTAACACCTGTTTGCTCTGCTTCTCCGCAGCTGAATTCTTTGAGCTCAACAACGCCACAAAACCGCCACGACGACGACGTTCGCGGCCATGCCTGCCCACACCGCAGCCCTCGCCAGCACGGCGAGGGTTTCAACTCGCGTCGCACGCAGCGCAGCGAAAAGTACAATACCCCCCCAAATCACAGGCGCTGAGGTGCCTTTTGGGCAACCCCTTGCATTTTTTCGCCACGGCGTACTCCACAACCGAGCAAGATACAGCCCCATGCTGGCCACGGCTCGATGCGCTAGGACGAAATAGGCGTGCTGCTTAAGTCTCGGCAAGGACGGTGGCGAGGCGAGCGAACAGGGCAACGAACATCGTTTCGGCTGGTTTTCGGATCCAGTTGCGCTGCGCTGCCCAGCACACGAAATTTTTGCCGCGTCGACAACTCTGCATCCTGCTTTCGGGAGTCCACAAAACTCGGACAGCCAACGCAAACACGGTCTACACATGTGTGTGCCAATTTTCAACGCCATCCGACCTGCACGCCGCCCGCGACAGCATTTCGTCATCCCAACGCTGACCTCTCGCGGCACAAAACAATCACCCCGCAAGAATTCGCAATTTCTCAACACACACTCAGCCCCTCGACACAAACGTGACATCTATGTGAAGCTAGAACTACACCGTGTTCGATGCTCACCCCTTGGTATACCCTGTAGGTCGGGTCACGACGTACAAGCGAGGTTTGCACCAAGGGGAGATGCAAAATGCAACGCATGGACCACGGGAGCACACATTTCCCGTCACATGCCCCATCAGGCCCGGTGCTGCTGGTCCATCTGCTGCAACCCTGCATAGCTCCATCGCAAAACGCTGCAACGGGCCTTTCGGCATCATTCGCTGCCAATTTGCAAAGTAAGCATCTCCCGACAACGAGCATCGAAGGGCTGCCTGTGTATCTCTTCAAGCAGGGCAGTTGGTGCTTGTAGCCGACGAAACCATATGCGCCAACCTACACCTGATGACCAAGCTTGATTTTTTATTTTTTGGTGACTTTCTCTCTTTTCTGCCGCGTGTGCACCTTGAAAGAAACGTGATGTCCGGCTAGGCAGCCTCCCACAAGCTATCACATTGAGATACAGCAGTCCTCCCTGTATTTAATTTGTACATACAGTGTCCGGCGTGCTTTATAAAGCCCTAGCGAACCTGTGTGGGGCACACTTGTTTTTTTGTGCGCGTCGGATAGTCTCCAATTGACTGTATACTGAGAATAAGTTACTCTTTCCTAGCACGCCAGTAGTTGGTGCTGATGCCATGTACTGGACACTGCCGGTCGCCTTCCTTCCATTTGTTTGCGATATCCAACAGGACGACCCCACAACTATAGTACATAGTCTAAGGAACTTACTGTGCGTCTCTCGCCAACCTCCATAGGGAAAACGCGGCGGTCATTACTACTACAGCAGCAACAGCAGTGTGTATAGTGTTTTGAAGTGCAGACCAAATAATTCTGCTTGCTGCAGCAGCGGGTAAGACCATCTTCCTTATCTCGCTCTACCTCTCAAACATCGCAGTCTGCGAAACCCCTGCACAGCAGTAAACATTTGTTCTCGTCATAAACAATAAAGCAGACACACACTCACCTAGAGCGTTCCCTCGCCAGACAATGGAGGCCTTGGCGGGCGTGCAGAAGAAAAAGAGCAGCCAGCCGGTCACGTATGTATCAGTCAACGGATCGCTCGCTCCGAAACGCACGGTTTTTCGTCATCCACGACCACCACCAGACTTCGTCCTATGCATCATGTATGCACATATTTATGGATGGACGTCAATATCTCAGTTCAGCACCGCCTCTCTCTGCATAGATGCACAACTACATACACGCCAAACAAGAAGACCCCACCAGAGCACGAGGCAGCAACCGTTTTTTTCGGCATCATCTCCGCCAAATAAATCCAGTTCCGGAAACAAACGTATTCGCTTGAGCCCCTCGGGTGCGCGACGACACGTCCACCTATTATGTCCACTTAGGCGAATGATCGACAACAAACTCATTCAGTCGTTTTCCGATATCCGCGCGGAACGAGTCCTACGTATGCGTTGCACCAATGACACCGCCCATTTTTTCCTACACTCACTCACGCCGACCCCGATCTCTGCAACAAAAAGCACCGACAACGATCTCGTCCTCGTCAAACCAAACTTGGGCGACCGTCACACCACGAAGAGATGCGTAAGCTGCTTTGATCGAAATACGATCCTCCGCGCCGCCGAGACTACCTACGCCGAAAAGCGCAATAGGAAAAGGCCAACACCGTCACTCCGACCGTTTCCCCAACGAAGCCACGCGCGGCTCAAAGCCCCAAGTCCAATAAAACCCCGGCCCCCACAGAGGACAACCAGCAGCAGCAGCCCAACCAGCAGCAACCCCGGAAGCAACACGTAACAACATCCTTGTCTTGCCCACGAAACGTCGATAGCAGCAGCTAGCTGTGTTTAGCCGGTCCATAAGTACGTGTAGTCGGTTGCGGCGAATGTAGGGCAAATACAGACTGCTGCTGTATCTTTTCGGCAGGTACTTGTGTATTTGTTCGGCCGGGAGGTTTCTGCGCAGATTCTTTGTGATCAGTCCGGTTGAGACATTTCCTGTTGCGAAATACCCTGGCGGTAATCGGGAATAAATTGGTGCCGGTGTCGTTGCCTATTTGACCATGG